TTTATTCAAAATATAGTAGAAGCCCTTTCAGAATATCCGATTGAAGGTAACTGAGGAAGTACAGATCTTTCCCCTTTGTTTGCTGGCCCAGTTTCTGCTTTTTCTGATGCTTTTGGGCTCAGGGTTAACTCCTCATTGTTGGGTGTATTCTTCCAGCTGCCCCACAGATCTTTGGCCTTGGAATTGCTTCTCTGTAAAGCTGTTGCAGAGGTTCAGTAAATGAAGAAAAGCATCAAGCAATTGTGGTAGCCCTCTTCCTGAAATCTTCTCTGACAAGTAGTTCCCTTGGATTCTTCTAAGGGATTAAAATATGTACACCTAGTGAAGAAAGTACAGATAAAAGAGCAAGAGCAGTAGTTTTACAGGAAATTGAGAATTTGTAGTTTCAATCATTTTCCTACACAAATGGTCTTTTTGAAGCATTGAATACACAGAACATTATTAATCTAAGATTTATACTCAGTTTTTTCACTTTTATTAATAATTTATTTTTTGTTGTTGAGAATATACCAATTCAAGCTTCTACATGTACAATTCAGTGATATTGATTAGTCTTCGAGTTGTGTCACCATTCTCTCTCCTTTTCTGAATTGTCCCTCCCCCATTAACATAAACCCGTTGCCCCCTAAATTTCCTACCGTATCCTTGAGTTGCTGTTGTCAATCTGATTCCATATAGATAGATCTTAAAAGAGCATAATGATCAAGGCAGACATTCTAGTTAAGCTAAACTACTGTTTGGTTTTAAGAGGACTTCAGTGGATATTTTTGGTTTAAAGAATATCCTATACTTTATTTAAATGAAGGTTTGGTTATTTTTCTTCACATATTTTCACAGACGGTTGGATCTTCTTGCTTCAGCTACTTAATGACTACAGCTTCTGGAAGGCTTTATATAATCCCCGTAGTTCTTTTAGCTTCCAGTCTCCTCTTTGTTGTTAGGGGCTTTCAAGTTGGTTCCGACTCATAATGACCCTAGTACAAGAGAACGAAACACTGCCCAGTCCTGCACCATCCTCACAACTGTTGTTATGCTTGAGCCCACTGTTGAAGCCACTGTGTCAATCCATCTCGTCGAGGGTCTTCCTCTTTTTCACTGACCCTCTACTTTACCAAGCATGATGTCCTTCTCCAGGGACTGGTCCCTCCTGATAACATGTCCAAAGTATGTGAGACGAAGTCTCACCATCCTTGCTTCTAATGAGCATTCTGGCTGTACTTCTTCCAAGACAAATTTATTCATTTTTCTGGCAGTCTGGTATATTCAATATTCTTCACCAACATCATAATTCAAAGGCATTAATTCTTCTTTGGTCTTCCTTATTCATTGTCCAGCTTTCACATGCATATGAGGGGACTGAAAACACCATGGCTTGATCAGGCACACCTTAGTCCTTAAAGTGACATCTTTGCTTTTTAACACTTCAAAGAGGTCTTTTGCAGATTTGCCCAATGCAATGTGTCGTTTGATTTCTTGACTGCTGCTTCCATGGGCATTGATTGTGGATCCAAGTAAAATGAAATCCTTGACAAATTCAATCTTTTCTCCATTTATCATGATATTGCTTATTGGTCCAGTTGTTAGGATTTTTGTTTTATGTTGAGGTGTAATCCATACTGAAGGCTGTGGTCTTTGATCTTCATCAGTAAGTGTTTCAAGTCCTCTTCACTTTCAGCAAGCAAGGCTGTGTCATCTGCGTACTGAAGGTTGTTAAATGAGTCTTCCTCCAATTCTGATGCCTTGTTCGTCTTCATATAGTCCAGCTTCTTGGATTATTTGCTCAGCACATTAAGTATGGTGAAAGGATACAACCCTGACACACACCTTTCTTGACTTTAAACCCCGCAGTACCCCCTTGTTCTGTTCAAATGACTGCCTCTTGGTCTAAGTACAGGTTCCTCATGAGCACAATTGTTCTGGAATTCACATTCTTTGCAATGTTATCCATCATTTGTTATGGTCCACACAGTTGAATGCTTTTGCATAGTCAAAAAACAAAACGAAAAACCCATAGGTAAACATCTTTCTGGTATTCTCTGCTTTCAACCAGGATCCATCTGATATCAGCAATGATATCCCTCCTTCCACGTCTTCTTCTGAATCCAGCTTGAATTTCTGGCAGTTCCCTGTTGATGTAGTGCTGCAACTGCTTTTGAATGATCTTCAGCAAAATTTTACTTGGGCATGATATTGTTATATAATTTCCACATTCTGTTGGATCACCTATCTTTGGAATGGGTACAAATATGGATCTCTTCTAGTCGGTTGGCCAGATAGCTGTCTTCCAAATTTCTTGGATAGATGAGTGAGCGCTTCCAGCGCTGCCTTCCAGTGCTGCATCTGTTTGTTGAAACATCTCAACTGGTATTCCGTCAGTTTCAGTCTCCTCTAAACCATTCTCTTCCTTTACAGATTAGCAAATAGCCTAGTCTGTGCTGACTGGCTTTTTTAAGGATTCCATCTTCCTCGTTCTACCTGAAACCCCATACTGTGTGCACATGAGTGAACACACACACAGGGACTGCACATTATGGGATGTCCTTTTGCTGTTCTGGCAACCATTGTTTCTTCTTGCTATTAAAGGTTAATTTACAAAGGTTGGTGTCTAAAAATAGCTCAGATCTTCCCAAAGAAGGAATCATGTTATTGCACTCCCATGGAGAGGTGTTCAAGTTTAAGGACATTGCATCAGTAACTGCCAAAATAAACGAGAGCATATGAATAGGGCTTCACTTTTTAGCTATTTCTTTTAGTTTTTTCTTCTCACATAAACTGGACTGATAGATTGGTCAGTCAACAATACTAGATATATAAGGAGATAGAAAAAAAAAAAAAAACTTTTCTCCAAAAAGAAAAATAACCCGTTGCCATTGAGTGAACCTGACTCATAGCGACCCTATGGGATGGAAAAACAATGGCCCCATAGGGTTTTCCAGGCTGTAATCTTCAAGGAAGCACACTGCCACATCTTTCTCCTGAAGAGCAGCTGGTGGTTTCGAACTGCTGACCTGTCAGCAGACCAGTGCTTAACCAATCCAACAGGGCTCCTTATACTTTTCTCAGGAAGAGTATTACTGTGGCTGGAAAAAATACTTTGGTCAACTGAGGGAGAAACTAGAGGAAAAACAAACTAAAAAGTATTGATGTGGAAGAGCATCACATTATTAATTTGCAATGCGTGTTATCATTTAGTATTTCATAGATCAGCTTTGGTTCTACAAAACCATCCTGGGGATCAATTAACTCCTTTGTGTTGCTGTCCTTCCAGGAGCCTGGTGAGTCAAAGATTCCTTTGCTTTCTAAAAATTTTATTTCCTTCAACTCTTCCAGGATGACCTAGAGGTTGCTGCACTGACCTGATAGTCTGGAGCAAATGGTCTCTGCCAACTTTGCAGGACTCACAGAGGCATTTTATTGCTCACTCTTCTGCTGCTGAATGGAATGAATGCGTTCTTCTCTCAGATCCACCCCTTGAGTTGGACTTTGGACAAGGAGACAAGTTTTTTATTTTTTAGCCTTCTTTGGTTCTAGTACTTTGATAGTAATCCCATTTAATAAATTCTCAAGGAGTTCATCCTAGTTCACTTGATTCTGCTCTGGAGTTTGAGGTCTAAATCCCAGATAAGACTATATTTTGCCTTTATCTATTGTCTTTGTGTATTATTTCACTTAGGACTTTGTGAGTAGAAGCTGAATACTCCTTGGGTACTCCTGTATTATCTGGCCAAATACCATATTATCAGTTTAACTAAATACCTTTAACACACCATTTCATCAACCTAAAAATGCTGTCATTTAGTCAAGTACTCTCTGTAACAAGTTGCTGTTGACTGTGACTCATGGCAACCCCACGTGTCAAAGTAGAACTGTGCTCCATAGGGTTTTCAATGTCTGATTTTTAGGAAGTAGATCATCAGGCCTTTCTTCCAAAGCACGTCTGGGTGGACATGAACCTCCAACCCTTTGGTTAGTAGCTGAGCACGTTAACTGTTTGCACACCCAGGGGACCCTGGATTACTCTTTAGCTTCCTCCAAATATCTTTAAAATCCTTTCTTCATCCTCAGTAACTTTTACTCTTCACATAGTGTGCCAGGATTCTGTTAACGCAATTCTACAGAGGATGTTAGGAATGATAAGGGCTCCAACCTCACCTCCCTGTGGTCAGCTGTACTGCTTTTTACTCATCATTCCAAGTTCCTTTATTGCTCCTCCTGCTGCAAACTGTGGTCCTGTTTGTGCTCAGATTTGGGTGACAGCATGTCCCTCCAGAAACCTCAGAAAATACAGTAATTTACAAGAGACCACTAACTTAGTGTCAGCATATGAAACTGTGTGTGTAGGGGGTATTTTTTTCTCTATAGAGATTTTTTCTTACTGCAACAATGTGGATACATCAGAGAATACAGTCAACTTGTTCTGCACACCTCTAGTATTTTATCAACTTCCATAAATGGTAAGCATAAGCTAGGAGGTATTATCTTTTGAAGCTGTGACATTTCACCCAGGACAAACTGTGCTTAGGCCACAGATCTTTGGTTAATCGCTGCATATTAGGATAGTCTCTCCTGCAAACTCCAGGCTCAGATCTTACCTCAGGTTGCTTATATTCTCCCTGTGGCTCTGCTAACAATCCTAAGCTTTTTCTATCCTCATGGCAGACTACTCTCTACTCCCAGGTCTCTTTGTGAGTGTAGATGATTTTCAGAAGCATAAGGAACTTGTGGCCCTGGAAAGGAATAGGTAAAATGTAGAGTCCCAGAAACCAGGGCTACTTGGCTGCCGGTGTTACTTTTATTTCAAATATTATTTCCAGAAGGACAATGGTTGACTGGTATTAAAACCAAGCCAATCAATCAGAATATCATTTGTGACCAAAATGAGAATTTCCTTGTTGAGCTGTTAGGGCTGGGGTATTGTTAACCCATCTTCCTCTGGTGTACATGGGCACAAAATGGATTGTGTAGTAGACAACAAACCAGGCACAGAAAAGTCTCCCTCTTCATGCTTTAATCCCATATCCTGTGCTCCTTTTATGGAAGACAGTCTCCCCAGTCCTTGCTGCACTGACTGTCAGAGCAGGTGAGGTTCATAATTCAGCCTCACCCCTGTGGTAACCTCTAACAAACAACAGGCATCCTTGGGCCATCATGAGATACTATATAGTTCTTACTTACATGGAAATGAAATCACATAAAAAAAAGCAAACACCACAAATGTAAGCCATTTACTCCTGGTATACTCTGTAGGTCCCAGGTGCTGAGGTTCATGTTTCCTGATATCAGAGAACTGAGGCAGGGATGGTGGGGACTGGGTGTCAGAATAGTCTTGATGGCCCTGGCCAACCGCAACAGCTTTTTCTTAATTTTTCATAGTTTGATCTCGTATCTTCTCCAGTTTTCATGTAAATGAGGTGACCCAGTCAATCATGATCATAGTGCCTTTGTAGGCTAACACTTTCCCAAAATCCCCTCACAAAACCCATGTGAAGGGTGGACAGGGCGTGGGGGTGGCGAGTGGGTTTGTGCGTATGTGGGAATGTAAATAACTTCATGATGATCTAACTTTTACTTTACTGGGGCCCTCAGAGTCTGAATGTTACATTTCACTTGTAGAAGTGCCAGGGACAAAACCAAGACACTGGTAGAATACTAGGGAGGCTAAAAATATAAGAGTAGTCTAATGGGGTAAAATAAAACAAATCCACAAAGAAAGAGAGGACACTGACTAGGTCCTCTTTTCTAGCAGTGTCTGGCCCAGCACCATTTTGACAATGGGGAACAGCCTGAAAAAGGTCCATAAACAGCAGCCTTGAGACTTTCACCCATCAAATACCTCTCCCATTTTCCCCAGCATCAAAGGAAAGTGCATGGTGAGCAACTGAATCAGACAGGGAGAGATTTGTACAGAGTTATCCTTTAAATGTGCAGCAAGGTTATCGCGACCCAGGTCTCCTGTTTTGAGTTCAGGGCAGTGTGCTTTATTTAACATGTGAGCCCAGGAAGGACAAACACCTTAAGGCTGGTCCCTTACCAAACCTAAGGGGTTGTCCTTGGCCACTTGAAACTCAAGGTTGTCAAGTAGTCTTTAGGGTATGTAACAGCCTATTTTTTGGAAAACAGAGTAACTACAACCTCTTAAGTCTTCTAATTCTACTCTGTACCCACAAGGCAGAGGCAGGCACACTCCAGTGAAGGGGGAGCCTCAACTCACTCAGACTATACTTTGGGCAAAATATATCCTCAAGGTGTCGAAGAAGCTCTGCCTGGGGTTTTTATTTAATAGGGGAAGAGACTCCCTAGAAAAGGTCTTCCAGGCTGACAAGGGAGCTTCTTCTAGCCCACCTTTAGGTAAGAGATGACTGTACATCACCTCACACAGGGCCTAGCTAAGGGGTCTTTTCTGAGTGGGTCCTTTGATGCCTGATTAAGTGATATCCTCTGCTGAAGCTTTTTCCACAGGTAGGGCACATGAATGGTTTCTCGCCAGTGTGTGTTCTCTGGTGCCTGACGAGGTGGTCCCTCCGACTGAAGCTTTTCCCACATTCATTGCATCGGCAGGGCCTCACTGATGCATGTCCTCTCAGGTGCTTGGCAAAGGCTGCACTGTGGTTGAAGCACCGTCCACACTCGCTACAGAGATAGAGCTCCTCAGTTGCATGCGTTTTCCGGTGTGCCAGATACCGCCTGTGGTCATGGAAGTCTTTGCCACACTCTCCACACAAATAGGGTTTGCCTCCCAGGTGGATCCTTTGGTGTGTTGTTAGCACAGATTTCTGGCTGAAGCTTTTGCCACAAATGGTACAGAAGAAGGGTTTTTCTCCTGTATGTGTCCTCTGATGCCTGACAAGGTCTGAAGTCCAGCGGAAGTGTTTTCCACAATCATCACATCTATAGGGTTTCTCAATAGGTGGAGTTCTCTCAGCCTGGATCAGTGGGGAGGTCTCATCCACATTCTTCCGGCTTAAGGGAAATTTATAAGAAGTGCCCATCTTGTGAATCTTTTGGTGCCTGGCAAGATGTGAGCTCCGTGTGTAACTTTTCCCACATTCCATACATTTATAGGGTTTCTCTCCTGTGTGAGTTCTCAGATGTCTAACAAGGTGGGAGTTACAAGTGAAACTTTTCCCACATACAGGACAGTCGTGATGTCTCCCTAAAAGGGGGTGAAGGGGCATGGTTTCTCGAAGATTCGTGAAACTATTAATTTGAGAAATACTTGTACCAAATCTCCTCTCATTAAGTCTACCTGGATTATCTTCAAAGACTATTTCCCAATCAGGCGTCTCGTGAATTTCTGGATCGTCCAAAATAGACCTTTGTAGATCCTCCAAACTTGGATCTTCTTGCTCAAGATACTCTTCTTCATCTTCACTCTGATCTCCTGTAGAGAAGGGAAAAGGCAAAATTATAGAGATAGTAATGCCTTCCACATAATGGAGGAATGTTTAAAAAGGGTGTGGGAGGGCAAGATAATATAGAGAGAAATCATATTTCATAACTGAAGAGGTTGGGAAAGAAGGAAATAATCAGTCAACTGAATGCCTGCTAGGTGCCAGGCATTCTCTTATACATTATCTCATGCTCTAAACAAGCCTTAGTATGGAGGAATATTACTATCCTCATGTCACAAATGCGGTAATCAAGAATCATGGGATTAAGCGAAAGGCTTAGTAAAATGGTAGAGCTGCAATTTCAAAAGCTTGTTTTTCCCACCCACCATTGCACAGTACATGTCCTTCAAAAAACGATGGAGGGGTGAAAAAGGAGAAAAGATAAAAGAAGAAGAATTTGGCTTTCAGGGGGAGATAGCATAACAGCTGGCATGCCAGAAGAACCAAAGAGAGAGGTACCTACAGGGAGAGAGAAGCACTGACTGGAACAACTGCTAGCTCAGGGTGGGTGAGATCCCCTCAACCATTCCTCACCTGTGTAGGTAAAACTCAGGATTTCTGTCTCTTGAGGCTCTTGAGGCTCTTGGATATCTGGGACCCAAGACTCTTCCTCTCTAACCTGGGAGATCTCATCTAGTCTGGGGATTGGAAATGCTGCTCAAGAGAGGGAAAACAGGACATCAAGACTGGTTCAACAGGTCCCTGTGTTTGGAGTAGATCTTTTTTGTTTTGGTTAGAGCAAATGTACAGCCAGGTTAATCAATCAAATCTTCAGTCCCTTTAGGTTGAGCACTTCTAGCCAAGTACTGCCTATCTCTTGCTTTTAAGTATTTTCACCTAAAACGCAGTATTATTCTACTGCAAGTGTTACCCTCTTTTCCCATATTCAAGTACATCACCTCCAACTCCTAGCCCTGCTTATTTCAAAACTCATATGTTTACCACAAATATTTCTATACTAAAGCTATAATACTATAGCTTTATTTTATTAGACGTGTCCAATCACTTTCCAAGCGTTTTTTCTCCCCTTTAACTTTACCCTCATTTTCTGTAGCTAATCCCTCAATATTATTGGGGTAGGCATGGAGAAGTTCAATGCATGTATTCTAAGGTCTAAGACCCTCAAAACCTTCAATGGGAAAAAGACCTATGCTCAAAACACTCTGGAAACACCTGTTCCTTACACAGAGAGACCACAATTCCACAGTCTTCTTCCAAGACATATTCTCCATGGAACTCTTTCTGTGTTGGATCCAGATCACTCCACTGGTCATGGGAGAAGCATACAGCCACATCCTTGAAAGTTACCAGTCCCTGAAATAACACAAGGCTTTACTCAAAACCTGATGCTTCCTATAACCTCGTATTTTGTTCCTGGAATAAAGGTCATAGGCAGAGGCAGAACGTACCCAGATAACTAAAGGACCTCAAATGGGCCATGTGGCTCTCTTTCAGGAAATCTGTGTTTTATCCTCTGTTGCTATTTTCCAACTTTCTTCCTCTGCACTGGCCCTACTCCTGTTCCCTGCAACTCCACCGCTTTCCCTCTGAACCAGCCTATGTTCTTCTTCTTCTTTAGGGTATGGTTTAAAATACAAGAGCCTTAAAATTCATCATATGACTATCTGATGCTTTCCTGCTACCTACATTTCTTCAAAAATTCATCTTTTCTAGGAAGCTTTCCCTAACTGACCTTATCCAGTCACTTTTACCATTTACAGTCTACATAGCATAAACATGAACTGTTTTTCTTCAGCTAGATGATAATCGCTCTGTGAACAGGGATGACTGAATGCAGACCACTGGAGGGAGAGTAAACCACCACACAATTTCAGAAATTCCTTCTGGAGTACAGTTATTTTTATAAATAACCATTAAATTTATTCTTTAAAAAAAGCGCCCTCATTCAATAACTTCAAAGTTGTACTGCAGCAGCATAAAACAATCCCATTTTGTTATTCCCTCTGGTCAGTGGCAAATAAAGAGGCTTTGGAGGCTGCAGAGCCAATGAGGTTATTATAATTTATCTCATTGGATGCACTTCCCACCCTTCCAGGCATCTGCAGAACTGAGAACATAAACTGCCAAAAGGAGTGCAAATTTGGATCCTGTCTAATCTGTTTAGCATGTGGCTAATGCCCCATGGTTCTTTGTGATGGTTAAGGTTATGTGGCAACTTGGCTAGGCCATGATTCTTAGTGGTTTGGCAGACATGTAATCATCCTCCATTTTGTGATCTGATATGAGCATCCAATTAGTTGAAAGGGGAGTTTCCTTACGGGAGTGGCCTGAGTCCAATATATATAGATATTCTGGCAAAGTTCATCCTCTTTGGAACCTGCATCTTACGCACCATCCTGACCTCCAGTTCTTGGGACCTGAGCTAGCAGCCTGCTGTCTGATATACACATTTCTAGATTTGCCAGTTTTCGCAGCCCCATGAGCCAGCAGCCTGCTGTCTGACTTGCTGATTTTGGGTTCGTCAGCCCCTGCAACCACACGAGTCAGAAGCCTCCAGCCTGGTATCTGACCCACAGATTTGGGACTTGCCAGCCTCCACAAGTGCATGAGCCATTTTTTGGAAACAAATCTCTCTCTATATATATTTATACATATATGTATACACTTCACTGATTTTATTCCACTAGAGAACTCGGCCTAAGACATCCTCTAAATACCTTCTCTGTGGGATAGAGGGAAACTAGGGCGCACCTGTGATAGAGCAGTGAGAAGGGCCACCATCTCTGGGTCTCCAGTGTTCCTCTCTTCAGGAATATCTGGGTCCTGGAGCACTGGAGCCTCTAATGAGAAACAAATGTGGATATCAGCAATATGCAGTGCACCCCAATAACTTAGTAGCCACAGTCACCTTTGGTTGGGAGGCAGCACCAACTTCCCTTATAGGACTCAAAAAACTAGACTAAGAGTAGCTCAAGTCATCCCAAACCCCACCATCTATAACACTAGCAGAATGTCAAGAGAACAACCAAGAATATCACTGCCTAGGCTTGGCCCTGTTTATGGGAGACTCTAGCTGGTATTGTGTCTCCTTTCAACACCCTGAATTCTGTGATGTATTCTCATTACAACCTACCCAGCCTCCTCTGGCATAGAACTATCTGCCCTTCCCCACAGCAGCCCTCTTTTGGCTAATGTGTCCCACCGCTCTCCTGCAGGGGCTGGAACTCCTCTTCAGGACCTTGGCTCTGCTCTTCTGGTACCCCAAGATCTGGACTCTGTGTGGTCTCCTCATGGGATTCCTTGGGGGTCGAGGTCTGTACAGGGTCCTGCAGCTCATTTGGTGACTCAGGCTCTGCTCCTAGATGCACTGACTCCTCTGACAGGACCTCCTGGCCGTGAACATGGACGGTCACCTGGGAATAATTCCAACATCCAGTCACCATGGAGTCTGGGGGAAGGTCTTGGCTGTCATCAGGGCTTATTTTAGGAGGAGCTGCCTACAGAAAAATTCCTGGAGGGACCCAGATGAGGAGGGGAACTCTAGTTCCATTGCGGGATGCAAAGAGGAGATGAAAGCTGTCCTCATCATGACAATGTAGAGGACATGCAGATATGGTATTACTTTCTCACTTCCCTTAACTGTTGCCCCTAGTCACCCAGGGCTCTGAGGTACCCATCCCTCCCATTTCCACCTACAGCTCTCCTTGTTGTTTGCTTCCATACCTTACCATCCTGGAAGGAGATTCTGTGCCTGAGGGTCTATGAAAACCCCTGAGGAAGCCACAGAATTCTCTTTCCTAGCAACCTGGGGTTTAACATCCAAAGAAGGGAAAACCAAAGCCATGACCCTTACATGGATGGGCTCTAGGCAGGTGTTTCAAAAACTAGAAAGTCACACTCACACACACACAGGCACACACACAGATCCCTGCCCCATGGGGCACATGGATCTAAGTACAACCCAAAGGCAGAGCCAATGTAAAGGGTAACTTATGGGGGCCTTGTAACCCCTATGCCCAAACCCAGCCTTCCAGCAAACAGGCCCCTCCACATCACACAGATCAGGACTCCCCTCCTCACCCACCGCCTTGGTCTCCTGGGCTGTTTCTGCAAACCCTCCACCAGTGTCACTGCCTCCTCTCCACTTTCTGGCCTCTGTCCCCGCACCCAGCTCTGCAGTTCTCCAGGCAGGACGGTGAGGAACTGTTCCAGCACAAGCAGCTCAAGGATCTGCTCCTTTGTCCGCCTCTCTGGCCTTAGCCACTGATGACAAAGTTCCCGGAGTCGAATGAGAGCTTCACGAGGACTTGCTGCTTCCTGGTAGCGAAATCGTCGGAAGTTCTGGTGCGAGGTCTCAAGTACAGGGTCGTCCCTCTGTAAGACGGACTCTGGCCTACAGGTGAAATCATCTTCCAATTTCACCATCAGAATTCCCTCTTTTTCCCAAACGTCCTGGTCCTCTGGTTCTAAGGCTGTAGCCATTTTCTGGCTCTCAGCTGATTTCACACCATCTAGAGTTCACTGTCAGCACCCCTGGTCTCTGGCTGGGCACCTGCAGGAGATTCTCTCAAGGGACCTGGGGTAGAGATGTAAAGATAAACAGTGTAAGCACGCAATTCTACATAGAGATAGGAGTTCTGAGTTCAATCATATCCTTTACATACACTTCTTCAAACTATAAAATCCCCTTTTCCCTATCCATTTGTTGTAAACATATCTGGTTGGGATAGGGTAATTTGTTCCCAAAGGTATGTTTCCCTGCCCCTTGTCCTGGGTGAGGTACACACCCCATAGAAAAATACTGCATTTCTACTTCATGAAACCTGTGCACCTAGAAGGAAAATGGCTAGGAGAAAGAACTCTTATAAAAAACTGTTAAAAAATGTGATACTGGCCATGGCAACTCTAACATTTGAGTAGTGGGTTATATGGGATAATGATGGAGAGAGCCACTTTCACGGTGGCTGGCACATAAACCAAAAACCAAACCAAACCCTCTGCTGTCGAGTCAATTCTGACTCATAGCGACCCTATAGGCAGCCAAAAAAGCATCCTTCCTTTCATTAAGACATCTTTAATTAAATGATCCACAGTCTCGCAAAACCAAATGTTCAAATGTAAACTCATGAGTCTTAACTCCAAGACCCGCTCCTCCTGCTGGATTCCTGTCTTGGCTGAGATTAGCGCTTGTTAAGTAAATACCCCTTTGTAATCCTTGGATTCAACTTTGATTCTTCCCCATGGCTTACAGCTCATTAAGCCAATTTACCTAAGTCTCTAGATCCGTTTCCTCTTCTTCCTTCTCATAGATGGCTTTAGCTTGAGCCCTATTATCTCTTGCCCAGACTCCTGCCATAGCTTCTTAACTGAGATCCAGACAGTACTTAACCATGAGCAACAGAACTGTCTATGCAGCTTTTGTGAAACACAGTATCTCGCATCATACTTTTGGACATTCAGATTCAGTCAAACTGGACAACTGTATCTTTGGAAATACTACATGTGGTTCTGATGTGCATCCCTGATTGAGCACTGAAACAGTGTTCCAGGTTAGGAGTGAGAGTCCTGAAGTCAGACTGCCTGGGTTTGAATCCTAGTTCTATCATCTACTAGGCATGGGACCACGGGCAAGTTCTTATTCTCCCTGTCTCAGTTTCCCCCACTAGAGAATGGAGATAGTAACAGTATCTACCTTACAGGGCTACTATGAGGATTAACTGTATTAGCATCTGCAAAAAGTTACTGGCACACCAATGTGAACCACCATCTTTCTAAATTATAGTTCCAATCACACCACCCAATATTTAAAAACAGTAACTTCTTAGTATTAATAAAGTACAAAATCCTTAGCATGACACATAAAGCTCTTCACATCAGCCCCCAAACTGTTTTTCAAGCTTCATATCCCACCCTTTTTTTTCTGTGTAGTCTAGCTGTAATGAATGGACTGCTGATCCCACTACAACAGGGTTTTTTCAGGCCTGTATCTCTCCTGCACAGAACCCCCCCCTCCACCACCATCACTGCATGGTGTTCCTGTATCTTCTTAACTGGCCCCCTCTTTTTCATTCCCATGGTTTATAGTTTAGGTCTTTATCAGTTCTCATCTAGATCCAAATGTGACCTACCTGCTTCCAGATTCTGTTACCATCAAGTTCACAGTACCACCCGAATGAGGCTGCTTGGCAAATCTGGTCACGCCCTTCCCTGTTTAAGATCCTTCAATCACTCCTGTCTTCTAAGTGAAATACAAACTTCTAAGTATTATACAATAGGCTGGCCTTCATCTTGTTATTCTCTTTCAAGCACCTCCCCCACGCCCACACACAGTGTACACATGCAAAGCACACAAAAGTGCTGTGCCCTTTAGCTTTTGAACATGCTCTTCCCTTTGACTCTTCAGCCTTCTTTAAAGTTTACTTATCCTTCAGGACAGCTCAGGCTTCTTGGCTTACGTTTCTTTGACTGACCCCACTGCCCTGTACTCTTAGACATAGTTAGAAATTGCCTAAGTGCTTCCATAGCAACCTGGGCACATTTCTATCATAGCACCTGTCACATTACATAGCCATTCTTTATCCATCCTGAGAAAGTCCTTGAAGCCAGGGACTGTGCTGTTCATCAATTTCCAATATCTATAATAAAGAGCACAATAAATGTGTTGAATTGAATATACCTCCACTTTCAAGTTTACTTCCTGCTTTAACAAGAAAAAGCAATCTTTTCCTCTATTATGTCTCTAGTCTTTTTTTATTCAAGTCTTGTCAATTCTACCTTCTTTCGAATTCATCCATCTCTTCATCTCTACTGCCACTCCCCTTAGTTGAGCCATCATGACCTTCTAGAAGGTACTAATAGGAACTTAAAACAAAACCACCATTCCCTCAGCCCCTCAACAGCACTGGCACATAACGGACACTTACTATATGCTGAACAAATGACTTGGTTCAAGTTTCATGACTGGTCACATACCCCTCCAGGCCTTTCTCCGCATGCAGCCCGGGAATTCCTTCATTTCCTTTTTTGTGCTGTACTACAATCGCCTAAGATCCATCCTCAAGGTTATGAAATCACTCTTAACACACCAATGTAATCTGCTGTTGCCCGTCAAATGAGTTTAATTTCAATGGCCGTACTAATTTATTGTCTTTCATTCTCTTTCCAATCTCTTTTCATTCATGCTTATTTTACATTTTCCGTTCTCCTCTTAGTCATTTACAACATACCTTTGTAGTCTATTTTAGACAGTTCCATAATGCCCAGATCATCACTTGTTACTTTTTCTACCTGTTGAACTCCTATCTCTGCCTCATGATGGTTTGCTTTCTCAGGTGTAATTTTTTATTTTATGCTTATCTTCAGTGAGAGCCCTAGGTTGTAAGTGATCCCTCTGAATGGAGTTTCATTTGCTTCTACCTAAGTACTAATGGTTTCAATGTTCTTGGATCAATTTCTATGCTAAGGTCTCAGGATGTTCCTGAATCATACTGACAGTGTATTTGGACCTATACCTGCAAGTCACTTTTTCCTTAACCAGCACAATGGAGAGCCTACCTCCTGGTACTTTTCCTGGGTCAGTAGGCAAATGTGCATGGATGGGAAAGCTCTTCAAGGCTCCTGGCTTTTCGCAGGAGGCTCAATTCCACAGCCCCACCCCTATTCCCTCCCAGCTTCCCAAGTCATATCTCCTTGTTGGAACATATCTCCCTGTTGAATGCATGCCTTATAACCCCAAACCTTCGAAGCCTTATTTAGGTTTGAAACCCTGGGCCATGGTGGAGTCAGCTTATACTTACTCTCGAGCTTCTATTTCTCTCCACCTCTGGCACCTACACATTTACCTTTAGTTTCTGAGGGGGAGAAAAATGGAAACTGTGCACATACCAGAGAGACAGGAGGACAAAGGCATTTAACAATGGGCATAACTCCCACCTACACCAGCTCCACTGCGATACTGCAGAAGGTCTGAGTGGTGAACTTTCTAAAAAAACAAAATGGGTTCACACTGTCCTTGGGATAAAGTTTATAAACTCCAAGACCTACCTCTCTATTCTCCCATGACTCTTTCCATTCCATTACACTCTAACCTTTTTCACTGATCTTGCTGCATTTTCTTAAACTGTGGACCACAATCCATTAGTGGCTATGAAGTCAATTTAGTGGGTCACAAATACCATTAAAAAACAAAATGAAAACCAGAATGGAAAATATCAGTGTACTGCACGTAAGAATAAACTAATGAAACTTTGGCTTGTTACATATCTACATAGATGTCTCAAAAGCTGCAATGTAAGATATGTATGTTACTATAGTAGAAAGGGTGAAAGCCACTGCCCTAATGTACTGTTGTGTCTCTCTTTTCTGAGCCCTCACTGGCTTTTCACTCCACCTGCAATATCCTTTTCTACCCCCTACGCTTGGTTAACTCCACTCATCCCTCAGATTTGGTTTTCCCAGGATGCCTTCCCTGATCTTCTCCCAGATTATGTTTCTAAAGGAACTTGTACCTTCCCACATCATAGCATGCATATGTATCTATTTTGCGTGTGTGTGGTAACAGCTGATTGCTCATCTTGCTGTTTAATTTAACTCAATAGAAGATAAACCTCTTGGAGGCAGGGACAAGCAACACCCAGTTCAATGCTTGTCACACAACAGTTACTCAATATATATTTGTTGCATGCATATAACACATTAAATTTTTTTTTTAAGTCTGCCTCTGGAAGAACAGAGACCACGTCTTATTAATCCTTAACCATTCATTTGTCCAGTAAACAATGTACTGGGCAAGTGACTGATTAAAGGAAAAAGCAAACAAACAAAAACAAAAAAACATCATTTGGAACCTTGGGAGATTGGTTTTCTAGGCTTAAGCCCTTAAGTCTCATAGAACAACTCAATCTATTGGCATAATACAGTTCACAAATTTCACCTTCTGCATCCTAGTAATGTGAGCAGTGTCTGGGGTCTTAAAGGCTTGTGAGGAGCTATCTAAGATATAATGATTGGTCTCCACTCATCAGGAGCAAAAGAGAAAGAAGGAAACCAAAGCCTCAGAGAAGAAACTAGTCTACAGGGCTAATAGCCTACATGAGCCATGGCCTCATCTACCATGAGACCAGAAGAACTACCAACAGTTCTGATCAGGGCCACAATAGATGGACCCTGATAGATTAGGACAAAAATGTGGAACAGAACTCAAATTCTTCAAAAGTCCAGACTTACTGGACAGTTGAGACTAGAGGATTCCCTGAGACTATTGCCCTGAGAAAAGTGAAATAACAGATTGGCACACAAAATAAAGGATATTACCCATGAGTACAGTGCTCCATTAAAAAACCATCTACGTGAGACCAAAGGGTCAACAATTACTCTGAAGCAAAGATGAGAAGGTAACGGGCCAGGGAAACTAGAGTAATGCAAACAGAACCCAAATGTGATTAGAGAGATGTTGACACATAGTGAAAAATGCAACTAATGTCACTGAACAATTTGTGTAGAAACCATCAAATGGGAACCTAATTTGCTGTGTAAACTTTCACCGAAAAAAAAATATTAAAAAAAAAAAGGAAGAAATCAAAACAAAACAAAAAACAGTTTGCATTGTAAGCAAAACAGGATACACTTAGTGGTTCCCAAAGTGATGGAACTACAACTCATTCCAAAACACTGTCAGGTTACCCTAGGGATAATCCAAATGCTAGTCACGCAAAGCTATGCGTTTAAAAAAAAAAAAAATTCCTTTGAAGATTTGAATCAACTTTCATAAACACAAAACCAAACCTCAAATAACTTAATACAAGTACAATAATAATTCATAGTGGTCTACCTATCTATTGGCAGATTTGCTGGCAGATAATTAATCTTCAGAAGAAAACAGTGATTGGAGTGTTTCAAGTTGTTATATTTAGTAGATAACCATATCCCTTCTGGAGCCCCTGGGTGATGCAAACAGTTAACGCACTTGGCTGCTAACCAAAGTTGGAGGATCGAGTCCACTTAGAGGCACCCTGAGGAAAAGGCTACTGAAAACCCTACAGAGCACAGTTCTGGTTCAGCAGAAGTCAGAATCAACTTGATGGCAATTGGATATCCCTTCCAGTCCCATTCTTATCTTTTATCCTGATGCAGACCCATACCTGAAAATTTGAGTATGACTACTCTCTGGGCTAACCAGGACCCTGCAATAGTTCCTCTTATTGTTGTAGACTAGAAACCAACTAACAAAAATTGTTAACTGCCCTTCTCCAATGATGTAGTTGTTCTCTAAAACTAATTATGATTATCCCAGTATGATCCTTCCATTTCTATTGGAAGGATGATCTCTTTTATTTTTACTGTCCCACACACAAATGTTTTTCCATGCTTTCCATGTAATGGTTGGGGATTTTGGAGTCCAGGGTTTGAATCCCTGCTATCACTTATTAGCCATGTGACACTATTTTGCTATGCTTCAGTCTCATCTTCAAATGCGGCTAATGTGACCTACCTCACATGGTTGTTTTAAAGAGTAAATAACTTAATATATGTAAATCACTCAGCACAATGCCAGGTACACAGTAGGTAATCAATTATAGTTTGTTCCCTTTCCTTCAAGCTGCTTTCAATTCTTTTGGGAAGAAGCCAAGATTTAAATGATAAACAAGAAAACAATCCTTTATTTCATAATCGCACACAAAAAAAATAAATTAAAATGTACTCACAGAACATCTTGATCTGTTTACTGTTACACCAAAGGTAAAGTTAAACCAAAAGAACAGTCCTTGCTTTTAAGGCATTTGTAAGCTAAGATAAAGGCCTTGGAACACAGGCTAGAAGCTTAAAATCAGGTTCTCCTGCCAAAGACCATATTAGCAGTGGTTCCACTTACCAATATCAAACTTCCCTTCCCTCCCTGCAACTGGGAAGAGGCAATCTGAGGCAAACCCAGTTAGCATACACAAGAAGTCCCATGAAAACTTAACCCAGAAGGCAAAACAAATGTAAGGGAATGCATTTCCTGACTTTTGGCCTCTAACACATCATGACATGTTTCACACCATTTTTAAACATTATTTCTTTAAAATATTTTTGCCAACTTATGTTCGATTCAACATAAAAGTAATGTTTGAGTAGCAAAGACGAGAAGTGGCTCGAAGCTTGCTACAACAGGTGAAGACTTTCAAAGAAAGAGTAAATTGTAGAGAAGAGGAAGAGGGTCAGAAAGAGAGAGAGGCCAAAGAAGTAGTGGGTAGTACAGAGAAGTCGGTGGAGTTTGATAAGTTAAGTACCTTCTGCCCTAAAAATCTGTAGACTTTGTGGTTAGGATCAAGGCATAAGGTGGGTATAAAAAACGCCATCGAGCATAAACGTAAACACTAAAATGTAAAATGATTTTAAAAATCATAAAATTAACTTTATTCAATTAAATGTTTTTCTATAGTTATGGACCACAGGTCTAGGAGGCAATGTCGGACAGTAGATAGTTCTGTCTCCCTTTTAAAGACATGTAATCTTGGACAAGTCACATCAACTCATCCCTACAATGGAGATGATTATCTACCTAAAGGCAGAGAACTGGATCAAATCTTTTGAGAAACCATTCAGCTTTTTGACGGTGATAAAGGAAAGGCTGGAGAGGAACAAGGATAAACATCTTCTTGATTGAGTACTTAAACTATAATATATCAGGCTAGGACTGTGAGAGGAAATTTTATTCAAGAGTTGAGAAGGGCTAGAGGCCAAATATAGATTTTAAGAGGCCAGAATTAAATATCTGGCCATCATGATTACACTGGTTAACCTCCAACAGGAAACTAGGCTTTTTAACCTAAAGGGATATTACCCAGAAGTAGTTAGTGGGCCAAATAAAGCAATCTATATGCCTCAGTTTAAAGCAGAACATCACAAGCTAATCTGAAGGGGGCAGGGAGCAGGGTGGTGGGGCATCAAACCTGCCACCCACCTTGATGAGGGCCAGCAGTTCTCATTCAGAAGCCAGAGTTAAACTAAATGCATTCTATTCCTACAATAAACATGGCCAGTGCCAGTCACACAGGACAACTGGAGGAATCTTTCTTTAACAGGAAATAACAGTATAACATAAATACAGCCTGACCTGAGGTGAAGGTATGGCTAATTCAGAACAGCAGCCGATTTAAAAGTTGTTCACTATGTTTTTACCTTGATAATAAACAGATGCTGTCAGACTATGCCCTGCTGTGTCCAGATGACTTCTTCTAGCTTTGCCCAAGGCTCCCCTGCTTATGATGAGATAAAAGATGGAATCCCCAGCCTGCTGGACCAAAGGAATCTGAAGAACTCCAGGTTCCCACTGTAGGATGAATCACATCCAAAGAAGAAGTAATCCCAGGATACCATCCTTGTTGTGGGCATAGTGTCAGTATCCCACTAGACTTCCTGAGGGCAGGGGTCTCCTTATTCATTTGTATATTCCTAGTGCCTAGGACTCTGTCAAACGCTTGGTGGAAAAGGTGCTTAATAAATATGTGTTGCATTTAATTAAACTATTTCTCTTCCCCAAACTTGGATGTTGAAGAGGCACTGAAATGCTGAGATTGGTGGGTATCAAGGCTTCTGGGTAATAAAGCATCCATGGGGGAGAGCCACAGGAATTTGGCACTAGCGTTCATTCCGATCTCTTGGGGAAATCAGGTGTATCCTGCTTTACTGTGTGGCAAATGATTAGTGGAGAAAAACTTCAAGGGATGGAGTTCCTTCATTCCACAAATATCTACTGAGCATCAATTGTGTGTCACACACTATTCTGGGTGCTGGGCAGAGAGATGAAATAAGAGCAGTCTCTGACATTGAGGGGAATTTTAGCAATACTAGGGATTCAGAGCAAAAAAAACCTAGAATATGATCAAAACGGGAAGCTCTCATCAAGAGAATTAAGAAAATCAAGGAAAAAATTCTGAAGTGGGAATCTTAAATCTGGCATAAGATAACATAGTATTCAGAGATCTTTTAGAATATCTTAATTTTACAAATGAAAGAACTCAGAGCTAAAAGATTACATTACCCTCTCAAGATCATATTACTAGCTCCCAGCACAGAAATACTCAAATACAGGTATTCTGATTCCCAAATCATCGCAGTGTTTATGGCAAGAGGTTTGATGAAAGGCAGTGGTTCTCAAAGGGAGGAACTCAGACCAGCAGCTTCAACCCCTGGGAGCTTGTTAGAAATGGAAATTCTCAAGCCTTATCTCAGACCTATTATCGGAAACTTTGGGAACAAACCCTTCATGTGCTTAAAGAAGTCTTCCTGGTGGCTCAGTGGTTACAGCGATCAGCTGCTAACCAAAAGATCAGCGGTTCAAACCCACCAGCTGCTCAGCTGGAGAAATTTGTGGCTATCTGCTTCCATAAATATTTACAGCCTTGGAAACCGTATGGCACAGTTCTACTCTGTTTTATAGGGTCACTATGAGTCAGAATTGACACAATGGCAAAGAGGTTTGCTGGCCAGAGGATGGCAAAAGCGAATCTAGCACAGTCTCATGTTTTATGCCTGTGCCAAATTAAGAGAAAAAGAAAACAATGTTGTAAACCTGTAACTTACTTCATTTGTACAGTCTGTAATGCCCAAGAGTTCCTCATACCGTAGTAAACTTTGCTGTGCCCTTGAAATGATTTTCTACTGCAATATAGTATATAGACAAAGTACAAAAGCAGGTACAGCTGCAGAAGAAAGGGGGCAAGATCATGAATCCCAGGTGTTCGGTCCTAGGAGGAAAAATTCCTTGCCTCTCTCCAACTCTGCCCACCTTCTTATCCTAGACAGTAACAGCAGAAAGTTACCCAAGACAAATGGCCACAAACCCTGACTGCTCTGTCACACACTTCCCACCAGCAAGCCTGCCATGGCTACCCCACAACCTTTCCAAAGTGGCTTTCTGGATCAAGGACCATGGGGCAGCTTGGAAGAGTGGTTAGGAGGAAGGATGAGGGATCCCACTAGCATTCCTTGTGGCTTCTGCGTGAGGCTGCTCTGGGTGGCACCTGCTGAGTGTGGACAGAAAAAAAGCAACTCTTCTAAGCCTAGCTTCTAAGCTACAGCCTGGGTGTGGCACTGCTCTCCAAACCAAGGTGATTCACGAAGAGC